GGGATAGACTGTTCTCAGCAAACAACCAGCATTAGAGACTTGTCATTTTGGAATGTCACTTTTACATGCCATTTCCTGATTTTACTTTCTAATATTTCATGAAATAAACATCTAGATGCTCATTAAAAGACACATGAAAAATACAGCTATCTTTGAGAAAGGACACCTGACTTTCAGATTACAGCAAGGACTATCACCTGTGGGAATTTAGAGAAAAGTCATTCAGAAGAATAAAATTTCTAATACCCAAATCTCTTAACAAATTTTTAGCTGAGTCAATTTCAGCAATTATAATCTGAATTCAGTGTAGCAGAATATATTCAAAGTATATAACTCATGACAATATATCCTCTCAATGCCTACTCCACTGTTTGCAATCTTTGATTTGTTAACTCAACCCTTTTAATTTGTTTCTCTTCTTCCTATTTGAACATCACCAGTAATAAGCAGAGCTTGCTGATTTGTTAACTCAAAACACTTGATTTTTTTTCTCTTTTTCGTATTAAAAAAAAAAAGAGCAGAGCAATAGTTACATAATTCTGCCCTGATCTAAAATGCTGACATCAGCATACCATGAAAAGCAAGTTAAAAAGAGAAAAACACTTTACATTTTACTTAAAACACACAAAAGCACATTAAGTCTATGATGAACATGTTAGTAGCAGTGCTTGGATTCATATGGGGAAAAAAGCGGCTTACAGTGGCAAACTTATATGAACCAGCATGATTACTTGCATGACTGTGTTCATCTAAACACAGCCTGTAAAAGCTGTTCTCCTCTCTTCTCTACCATGCCCAAATGTTTCCTGCTTAATACTCTTTTAAAAATAATAAACTACAGCACTCTTCACATCACCATTTCAAGTAAATATCTCCACTTTTCTTTTGGTTTTCTCCTATATTTGTTAATGGTAAATAATCAATTCTATACACAAAGGTAATTGTTAAAATTCTTAGAAATCATTTGAGTACTGTCACTGAATCATAGAAGCCTTAGAATGTCTTCTGCAGCCACCATTAAATAAAAAGAGAACAGAACAGGAAGCTCTCAACTTCAGAAAGCTATCACTGTGTGTGAATATTCCAGCCAGGGAATTCTCCTCCTACCCATGAAACAGAGAAAACACAACTGTTAAAATTATAAGTCACCAGAACACAGTGGGAGAAGTTCAAAGCTCCAGATGATGATGTCTGAGGTTCTTCTATGAATTTCATGTCAATGGAGAGCTGACAAGAGTTCATAATGGCCTTAGCTGCACTCAATTTAAGGCAAACTCATCTTCATAGACACTGCTGACATAAAGTGCAGGGCTTGTCAGAGAAGTGACTATTACTAAGGTTATCCTTGCTTATTCTTGCCTTCTTGGAGACTTTACAACTAAATTTGAGCATTTCTGATGAGTTACATAGCACAAGCAACAGCAGCTGTTGATTCTTCCCTTTAACCACTATATATGTCATCATGATTAAAACCAACTAAATAAAAAAGCTCCCAGTATGTATTTGGATAATACTGCTCAATGTAGATTAACAGGACACTCCATAGTAGGCCACTCTCTGCCTGTATTGCACTATCACAGGGAAGGAATAAATACGCATCCTGTCACCAGTCAGATACACAGATATGGCTCAAAAGCACAGAGACACCAATAGGGAGAGAGATGGGGTGACTGTCTAGTATCACTTCTGCCTGTGAGACAGGAAGAGAGAATGATGACCCCAGAGTCACTTCTCTGCTATAAGCAGCATATCACAGACACAGTGCATACTTGAAAAACTTTTTTTTTTCCTGAAAGATCAGATTTTGAAGTTTTTAGGGACTGTTTTTAAAAAGCCTGCCACAAGAACATGGCACATCATCCAGTGAAATCACGGTGAACAATGTTTCCTTTCAGTGTCAGTACTCCTTCCACAAACACTACCCTTCCCAAGTGGAAGAAGCCATTTACTGCAAGCTCTATTCTATCTCAGTCGTTTGGGTTATTTGTACATGGGCTTCATCCCTTCATTAAGCTGATGATCTCGGCCAATCAGACATTATCTTTTAAAAGTACCAAAGAATAACATCTTCATAGCTCCCAAAGAGAGTTTTATACAAAGGCATTACTCATTAAAGATCAAGGCTATAAAATGCTAACCACTTATGTGGTAAACAGAATGCACCATATTACAGTAGTTTTTGTGTTTTTCCCCCTCAATTTGGCACAAACAGATTTAGAGAACTATGACAGTATTAAAGAGTTAAATGAAACACAAGCTACATATTTGAGAATGGTTACATAGGTCCATGTGACCAAGGCCACGATGAAAGATGAAAGACTTTCCCTGTGTGCATATCTATGCATATCTCTCTTCTTAATTTAGATGTTTCGTAAAGACCAGAAATCTACAGTTTGATTGTTGTTTTGGTTTTGAGCTCATTACTACATTGCAATTTTTCATAAAATAACTTGACCCATAGTATTTCAATGGCATGCAAAGTCACTTCCAAAACTTTTCAATATTCTTTGAGAACAAAGAAGCAATTTTTCTATTCTCCCAACAAATCAATTATGACTAATGGTAGCTTGAATACTGTTAATTAACTTTCTTTCAAGTTAGCATATTTAATCTGATGTATATCTAGCCTCTTTTCTAAGCAATAGTTAAAAATTTTAGGACAGGAAGGGAGAAAACAACAGGTAGTCTTATGATGAGGCTCATTCAGTAATACTGCTGGTAACAGGTGATGGTGTGCAGAGAAAGCACATTTACATCAAATGAGTTCTCAGGGCTACAAGAATCCAGCTGTATATTGACGGCAAAACATAATACATTGTTATGTATGTAATAACTAAACTGTATGTTAATTATTACAGGAGGAACAAAACAATGCTTTCATTTTATAAAAAATGAATAATTAAAAAGCAGGAAACACAGTGAAGAGTGGCAGTTCATTAAGAGCTGTTAGGTGCTTCTATCATCTCAAAGATATACTATTTAAGAGATAGTAAAAATTTGAGCACATTAATAAGAGTATAATTATGAACATTTTCTATCTTCTTAGTCATAAGTAAATAATTACTGATACTCTTAAAAACTTTCACTTTATAAAAAATAAAATAAAACAAACAAAATATTTTAAAATTCTACTTTAAAAAAACATAAAAAGTAAACAATTTTCCAATCCTGTTGTTGAGTTGGCTGTCCCGTGGACAGCGCTACCTTTGGCCATCTCCCACAACACTTAAGACTCCAGCATTCTGGTTAAGTCGCTTGGTATTTTTAAAACTAAAACATGTCTATTTTACAATAATAAATATGATTAAATGAAGTCCGTGAAAAGCAAAAGAAATGCAGTTTTTAAAGTAAAATCGATCATTTCATGAGATAGAAAAATAAACGTTTATAAAACAAAAATATGGCAAAAGATGCTGCCTGCTTTCCCTAATTATCAAATAAAATGCACCTATATATATATATATTAAAGTTACCATTTCAAAATATGTTTGAAAAACAAGAAGTAAAATCACAGGGCAGATAAAGAAAAATACAGCAATACAGTAAGTCAATGAGACTAAGCTTCCACACTGAAACCATTCTGTAGAGTTAAGGCTAGGCTCTTCACCTCATCTCCTTCTCTGAAGGAGGCCATTCCTTATGTATCTCATAGCCGACACCAGGCCTGTAATTCCCCTCTCCTCCACTTCCCTAAACAACTATGCTGCTTCATTTGTGTCTTTCCAGATTACTGTTTGCCCACAGCTTCACTCTTAGACACGTATCACTTACATTTCTATCATATGTAATACGTAACTTTATGAAACAAAAGATTGTTCTCAAAATCAGAGATCAACATCTGTTGGGAACAGTTCCCAGAATCCCCCACCCCACCACCCACCGCATGACTAAGAGAGTTGGGAAAGACAAGGCAAATGGAAGGCAGGCAGTCTGTACCTTGTTTCTCTCTCAGCAACCTACTTTTCTTTCATAAATAAACAGCACATTGAAATAACAGCAAAAAAAAAAAAAAAAAGTCAGAATCATACAGTGAAAAGAACAGGAAGTCAAGCTGGGGAAATGTCAATAGATAAAGCTTGGCTGCCACTTATATTAAGAAAGTGGTATGGGCAAATACATATTTCCATAAATTAGCACCTAGATAAAAACTGAAGTTTTGAAGAGGAGTTTAAAGGTCTTGCAGAAAGGACTACAATGACCATCAAATGACTCACTTCATCAAATTCAACTTTCTGTTGAATTAGTTTAATTATTACAGGTGCACAAAACATCAGTGTGAGGTTGCCAACAGAAACTGCTCTATCCTGGGAACAAGAGGCTTGATCTACACTGCCAGTAACACTGATGGCATCAACTCTCAGGAAAATTATTCTATTTCCTTTGGTTCCATGATTAAATTACAAAATCCGGTTATGAAAGGCTATTTTTTTTCTTTAATATTCAGCTAATTCTTCATGGACCTGAGTGAAGGTATCAGACAATTAAGGTTTTTCAAATAAATATTAGCACTTGCTGTATTGTCTAGGGCCTTCAGAAAAACTCAATGCTGAGTAAACAGCAGTACAGTGCTAAAGAATGAGGGTTATATGGCCATCCAGAGCCTCTACCAATACATGTATTCAGAATAACAGACTTCCACTGTTCTTTGTATTTCTCCCTACATTTTATTGTTGTGATTTTACTTTTTCTGAAGAGGATAAAACGAAAGGCAGTATCCTTCAAAATATCATAGTAATCAACAGCAAAGTGGCTATTTCATATACTTTCCTATACTTCATTGCATCCAAATGTTATGCTATATTTGATAATGAATCTCTGTAGACTTCTAATTGCTAAATAAACTCTAGTCCCTAGTTGCCAATATCCTATAATTAGCAAGTACTGTTTCATGGAGTTCTTATTATATCCCAGGAAATATATTCAGAGAAGAGGTGGCCAATATTCAGAAGCTACATTTTCTTACAATGCCCAAGTGACCAAAATAACCAAAACATCTGAAATGAAGTGAAGTTTTTTATAGTTAAGAAAACACTTGAAAATAACTCCCAGGAATGGCACACTGAAGGAGAACAGCCAACGTGGAATGCATTTTTTATCATTCAGTAATATGTGCTCCAACAAGTCCATTTTCAAGGCAGATTCTTCTTCTTGTTTGTTTTTGTTTTACTGCTTATTATGGAAACCTGGGGAAAAGAGAAAAAAGAAAAACAATTAAAATACAGGTAATGGGAATTTGAGTCAGAAAAGAATATAAAGCTGTCTTTGCAGTTTTAATTTTTGTCACGGATTTTTCTTCCTTTCGATGGTGGAAAAATGAGAAATAAATACTTGACAGTCAAAACATAAACTCCAATATGGAGCTGTACATCTTTTGAATGGCTTTCTAACTCTATACTATTTCACTCAGATGTATATACCTTGGATCTGGTTAATTTTGCTGTGTAATGGTTTTTCATTTGCAAGTTCTTTATACTAAAATTTTAATGAATTAAAAAAAATGAAAATTTTTAAATTCATTGTCTCCCTGCTCAAGATTTATCTTCATTTCTATGCACTCCAAGTGTTCCTCCTTGTATCTTTAAAAACCTCTTGCTTATAAAATACTCATGTACAAAATCAACTTGCCATTTTAGTATGTTGCAGAAAATGTACATTGAAGACTGACACACCTTGTCCTCAAATGATACACACTCAGCTTGAGAAGAAGCAAACCCATGAGCAACTTCTAGCTACACCAAAGATGTTCAAAATCAGTAAAAGAAAAGGAATGCTAAAAGTATTACCTAAGAAATCTTCCAAGATGTTCAACCCAATATTAAGATGCAACGTTTGCAACTTGTTCTGCAGTCATGCTTCATTTGCTCCCTGCACCTCCAGTGCAGTGAGGTGCTGTGTGGTATGTATGTGTACACACTGTAACTCTAATTCCTAGCTTCTGGGATGGCTGTATACCGTGCAACATGCTTGAAGCAAAACTGCTCTAGGATTTGAAACTTTTCTTTGAAACATATGCATAGACTCTTTCTAATTCTCACTCCTAATCACTATGATGACAGAATCGCAGCCGAGGTACCCATATTCTGCAAAGTCTACATCTGAAATGCTCCCCAAAAATCTGAAACCGAGGAAAGTGTTCGTACTGAAAACCTTGAGCCTCCAGATTTCAGCAGTTTAAGCTGTACAGATAAAACAGTCCAATCTAAGCAGGGGCTGCAATTCCCTCCTAAAATGTGATGAGAGAGCAATAGCTTCTCTTTGGAGAAAAGTGCAAATATATAGAAAACCTAGCATTAAGTTTAAAGTGACTTACTTTTGGCTTTCTTGTGTTTTTATAACTGCGTGGGAAGGACAGCTTATTTTTCACACTCCCATAATGAGAAGACAGTATTTCATTTCCTGTGATAACACGAGGCTTATAAGGAAGATCCCAGCTTGTTCATACTCCTTACCTTTGTGTGAGGACTCTGGCTTTGAGAAATGGCGTGTGGCACTATGCTGGTTTGTAAAGTGTATGGGATCCAGATCCTCAGGGTCCATCACTGTCGGTGGTGGTGGCCTGCAGGGAGACAGAATTTCAAGAATCGAAAATGTTTACTGCAGTTCTAGCTCTTGCTGAGAAACACTGCAGCAGCTTTTTTGTAGAATGAGTGCCATAGTGCTTCAGAATTCTCAGTTTAGTTCCTAACCATCTACATGTCCTTGAATAAGTTCTTTTATCTAACTGTTCTTGATGCCTATAACTCTCTAAACATTTTCCCCAATAGCCAGTATGTATAGGCACTGTGTTATAGCCTGTCATTAATTTACTTCAGAGGATGTTACAGGACTCTACAGAGGAAACAAATAAATCTCTCAAGGAAATGCAGAAAAATACAATCCAACAAATACAAGAACAAATGCATAAATCCCTCAAAGAAATACAGGAAAATAAATCAAACAGGCAAAGGAAATGAATAAAATGATTCAAAACCTGAAAATGGAAATAGATTTAACAAAGAAAACACAAATTGAGAAAAACCTGGAGATGGAAAACTTAGGGAAGAGAACAAGAGCTACAGAGGTAATTATCACCAACAGAATACAAGAGACGGAGGAAAGGCTCTTAGGAGCAGAAGATACAACTGAAGAAATCCAATTGTCAAAGAAAATATTAAATTGAAAAAAATTCCTGACACAAAATATCCAAAAAATCACGCACACCATGAAAAGATGAAACCTAAGCATAATAGTAACAGAAGAAAAAGAAGACTCCCAGCTCCAAGGACCAGAAAATATTTTCAAGAAAATTCTCCAATCTAAAGAAATGCCTTTAAGCATATAAGAAGCTTAGAGACATCAAATAAGTTAGAACAAAATAGAAATTTCTCCCACTGTATAATAATCAAAACACTAAATGTACAGAGCAAGAAAAAAATATTAAAAGCTTCAAGGGGAAAATGTCAAGTAACATATAAAGGCAGACCTAACAGAATCATAGCTCACTTCACAACAGAGACTATGAAAGCCAGAAGGCCTATGAAAGCCAGGGCCTGGACATATGTCACAGAGACCCTGGAGAAAACAGATGTTAGGCCAGACTACTTTACCTAGCAAAACTTTCAATCACCATAGGTGGAGAACACAAGATATTCCATGATAAAACCAGATTTAAACAACCAGAACTACCCAAATTACTAGAAGGAAAGCTCCAACCCAAGATTCAATGCAATTCCCATCAAAATACCAACACAAATATTTTATTAATAATTTTTATTTTTTTATATTAATTACATGTTATTTACTTTGTATCCCAGCTGTAGCCTCCTTCCTCATTCCCTCCCTATCCTACCCTCTCTTCCTCATCTCCTCCCTGCCCCTCTCTAAGTACACTGGTAGAGGAGGTCCTCCTCCCCTTCCATATGACCCTAGTTTATCAGGTCTCATCAGAATGTCTGCAATGTCCCCCTCTGTGGCCTAGCAAGGTTACTACTCCCTTGGGGGGTAGGGAGATCAAAGAGCCCACCACTGAGTTCATGTCAGAGACAGTCCTTGTTCCCCCTTACTAGGGAACCCAATTGGATGATTAGCTGCCACAACACAATTCTTTATAGAACCTGAAAGAAAAATTAATTTCATATAGAAAAATAAAACATAAACAAAAACACCCCAGAACTGCTAAAACTATCTTATACAATAACAGATCTTCTGGAGGTATCTCCATCCCTGATCTCAAGCTGTACTATAGAGCAACAGTAATAAAAAGTGCATGGTAATGGCACAGAAACAGACTGGTGGATCAATGGAACCAAATAGAAGACCCAGAAATAAAGCCACACTCTTATGGACACCTGATTTTTGACGAAGATGCCAAAACCTTACAATGGAAAAAAGATAGCATCTTCAACAAATGGTGCTGGTCTAACTGGATATCTACATGTAGAAAAATGTAAATAGATCCATATTTATTGCCCTACTTATTACCATATTTATTGCTAAAGTCCATATGGACCAAAGACCTCCACATAAAACCAAACACACTAAATCTGTAAGACAAAAAAGTGGGGAAGAACCTTGAACTCATTGGCAATGGAGACAACCTCCTGAACAGAACACCAATAGCACAGGCTCTGAGATCATCAGTCAATAAATGGGATCTCATGAAACTGAAATGCTTCTGTAAAGCAAAGGACAGTGTCATCAGAACAAAATGACAGTCTACAGACTGGGAAAAGATCTTCACCAACCCTATATTTGAGAGAGGGCTAACATCCAGAATATATAAAGAACTCAAGAAGTTAAACAGCAACAAATCAATTAATCCAGTTAAAAAATGGGGTACAGAGCTAAACAGAAAATTCACAGTAGAGGAATATAGAATGAGAGAGAAACGCTTAAAGAAATGTTCAACATTCTTATTCATCAGGAAGATGCAAATAAAAATGACCCTGAGATTTCACCTTACACCCATCAGAACAGCTAAGATTAAAAACTTAAGTGACACATGTTGGAGAGGATGTGGAGAAAGAGGAACCCTCCTCCATTGCTGGTGGGAATGTAAATTTGTACAACCACTTTGGCAATCAATCTGATGCTTTCTCAGACAATTAGGAATAGTGCTTCTTCAAGATCCAGCTATTCTACTCCTAGGCATATATTCAAAATATGCTCAAGTAGACAATAAGGACATTTGCTCAATCATGTTCATAGCAGCTTTATTCATAATAGGTAGAATCTGGAAACAACCCAGATTTCCCAATATTTTAACTAAGGAAAAAAGAAATGAATAAATTAATAAAGCTAAATAAAAAAGAAAACAAGAAGTCAGAGAGGGCAGAGGCCACCAAGAATGGAAGAACTTTCATGAACAATGGCTAAGTAGCCTCTTTATCCACTAGGTGGCAGAGTCCATCGTAAAACATGAGCAGAGTGCAGGGAATCTTAGGAAAGAAGTGGGAAACAGTAAGATCTGGAGAGGACAGGAACTCCACAAGCAGAGCAACAGAACCAAAAAATCTGAGCACAGGGGTCTTTCCTGAGACTGCTATTCCAACCAAGGACTATGCATGGAGATAACCTAAGACCCCTGCACAGATGTAGCCCATGGCAGTTCAGTATCCAAGTGGGTTCCATTGCAATAGGAACAGGGACTGCCTCTGACATGAACTGATTGGCCTGCTCTTTAATTACCTCCCCCTGAGGGGGAAGCAGCCTTACCAGGCCACAGCAGAATACAGTGCAGCCACTCCTGATGAGACCTAATTGACTAGGATCAGAAGGAAGGAAAAGAAGTCGTCCCCTATCAGTGGACTTGGGGAGGGGCATGCATGCAGAGGGTGGAGGAAGGGAGGGATTGGGACTGGAAGAGAGAACCACAGGAGGGATACAAAGTGAATAAAATGTAATTAATAAAGAAAAAAAAAAGAAAAAACAAACAAACAAACAAACAAAAAACCCCAAATACCAACAACAACAAAGAACATCCTCTTTGCCGGGATTGAACATTTTGGTTAGGGTCCTCTCTCTTGCTTAGTTTCTTTAGATGCACAGATTTTCGTGGGTTTGTCCTATGTTGTATGTCTATATGAGTGAGTATATACCGTGTGTGTCTTTTTGCTTCTGGGACAACTCACTCAGGATGATCCTTTCCAGGTCCCACCATTTACCTGCAAATTTCATGATTTCCTTATTTTTTCATTTCTGACATCAGAAGAAGAAGAAAACAGGAAACAACCTAGGAACCTGCTACAGAGGGCCTCTGAAAGCCAGAAGAAGTAAACAGGAATCAAACTAGGAACCTACCACAGAGGGCCTCTGAAAGCCTCTGCCCTGCAGATTATCAAAGCAGATGCTGAGCCTGTGATGGCCAACTGTCGGGCAGAGTGAATGAATTTTTATGTAAGAAGTGGGAAATAGTAAGAGCTGCAGAGGACAGGAACTCCACAAGGAGAGCAACAGAACAAGAAAATTTGAACACAGGGAACTTCCCAAAGACTCATACTCCAACCAAGGACTATTCATGGAGATAACCTAGAACCCCTTCACAGATATAGCCCATGGCAGTTCAGTGTCCAAGTGGGTTACCTAGTAATGGGAAGAGGGACTGCCTCTGACATAATCTGATTGGCCTGCTCTTTGATCACCTCCCCCTGAGGGGGAGCAGCCTTACCAGGCCACAGAAGAGGACAATGCAGCCACTTTTGATGAGAACTGATAGACTAAGATCAGAAAGGAGAGGAGAATCTCCCCTATCAGTGGACTTGGGGAGGGGCATACATGTAGAAAGGGGAGGGAGGGTGGGATCGGGAGGGGAGGAGGAAGGGGCTTATGGGGAGTTACAAAATGAATAAAGTGTAATTAATAAAAAATAAAAAAGTTAAAAAAAAACGTGCAATTTTTCTATGTAACCCATTTACAAAGTTTTAGGTCAAAATGAAGCAAAAATGTGAAAAAAATTAATTCTAAATATTTATTAATTTTATCATTTCATACACACTTTGTCAAATACTTGGCATTGATGGAAATGAAAAAAAACCAATTTAATTCTTTGTTTGATTTTTCAAAGGTATAGTCAAATTTTATATTACAACATGGAGCCAGATAAGGCTGTTACATATTAAATATATAATAGTATAACTGGATGGTTTATATAATCATAAGGTATAAGTATGTTAGGCTTGAAAAGTTTAGTTCGTTTGGTACAAAATTGACTGTAATTTACAAATCAAAGCAATCATTAATTTTTTCCACTCATCCACAGCAGAAATCTCCCTGGGTACCTCAAAGTGCCAAAAGAAATAATAACTTGTATGTACAGATAAAATCTACATGTCTCAAGTAACCAACAACCTAAGTCTGCACAAGAGCATGCTCAGAGGAGGTGAATGGGGGAGGGGATCCACGTGTACATAGTTAAGCACAGAAAAAACATGCTTGTTAACAGAATTGAGCAGACTCCATAAACAGTGCTCTGACCATTGCAGAGCTATACATTATAATATTAGCATAATTATTTTGTAAAGAACTAAGCATTTGTAGCTATGTGAAATATTCATAACATTTGAATAGCATTTAAATTCC